AAGAAAGGAGGTGAAGGGAGACAATTTTAGAGAAGAAATTTTTCGGTCGCTACCCGGATTCGAACCCGGGACCTTTGAATGAGAGGCCAACACCTTAACCTCTAGGCCACGAGAGCCCCCTATCCCTTTTTAGCGAGACAACTTTGATAAGACTCAAGCAGAACTGCCTCGCCGCGACAAAAAACACGGGATGGAAATACGTGTAAGGAATCCATACAGCGGCGGTGGGTGAACCTAGATTTAGGTGGGGCTGAGGTTTCTTCCACTTCTTTAGCACCAAAAAGCAAGCAATAAGAACAAAACAGTGATGATTTTTCTATACTCACGGCGAGCCACGGCATTTTGAGAACCATTCAAACGAGAAGAGTCACCTTTGTCAGCCATCTCTTTGTTCTTAGTTAAATTCTTCTGGATGGTGGGGACAAAGCCGTTTCACCTCCAAATTTCTCTAATTAGTTTTTATTTGATGAAAAAGCTGCATCAAAAGTGGTTGGATGTAATTAATAACTGTTAAATCTCAGCAGCACAAACACACACCGTGTATGAGGTGGATTGGGTCGTGTTGTTAGAGAAAATAGAACGCGCCTAACAAAGGCCCAATGGGCGCATAGGTAACTGTGTCACTGGGGGAAAGTGTGTCGTAAACTTTTCCCCCATTTTCAGGGCTGGGAGAGCGTGAGCCCTCTGTGCAGTGTTATTTTTTCAAGTCGTCTACCTTTTTACAAGATAGGTTTCATTAAGGAGAGACCGTGGGAACGGGCTGGTTGATTGCTGAGCCCTAAAGACATTTGATTGGCTGTTAGGTTACTATAGTTGTAAGCGGAGACAACTGATTGGATAAACGAGGAAGCCGCCAAGTTGATCACTCTGTGTTCATTGCGGGAGATCAGAACAGTTTCAACTGCTTATTTCGTTATTTTCATTTGCCTTGGGATAGACTTGGGGGGTGGGGAGGGGGGCTCAAGCCCGTGAGCCCTTCACTACCTACCGCCACTGAATCCATACAACCTCAGACTCTGATAAAAGTGAGTGCACGCAATAGCAAGCTTTGGAACCGCGAATTAACGAGTAAAGAAAACAAAACGGGATTTCACCAAAGCTTGTGATAACAAACACTGACATAGTAAGAGAGACTTTCTGTTCCCCACAGTTTTTGGAGGTTGCATGACCCCTCGTTACATTCAGCCGGGATACGGCGTTTTATTGGCTCAATAAAAAGTGAGAAGGGGGGGGGGGGACTGCGACTTCTTGTCACCAGCCTTGACAATAATCGTTTAAATTCCCTCTCTAGAATGCATGGACCAATTGTCCGCACAAAAACGGTATGGTTTCCTGCCAAATCTTTTCTGAAATCGCCACATCTGTTCTGAGCAACTTGCTGCTTGCGAACGACATTAATTTATTAAAAAGGTCATGGGACGCTCCGTTAGCTCAGTAGATGGCATGCTGGACTATAGCTTGGATAGTCGTTGGTTCGATTCCCTAACCAGATCTTTTTGAGCCTGGAGGATTTGGGAAGCTGTTAATAGTTAATGCTTTCCTCGGGGGCTCTCGTGGCCTAGAGGTTAAAGTGTTGGTCTCTCCTTCAAAGGTCCCGGGTTCGAATCCGGGTAGCGACCGAACAATTTTCTTCTCTAACATTGTCTCCTTTTACCTCCTTTCCTGCTCTCCAACAATAATCTGTCGTCTGCTTTCTGCCCCCACCCCCTCACCTCCTTTGCCCCCTCCTCTGGGCGCCTGACTCTTTCTGCAGCATTTCAACTGCTACTCCTTGGCTCCTCCTTACTGCTGACTTTCTGCCACACCCCTAATCTTCTGGTAGGAAAGATCTACACCTAGCCTTCTCGGACAAGGGCGAAAAATCTCGGAGGTCCCGTGTGCAAGTTGCGCACGATAAAGGTCCCTTGGTAGTCTAAAATCGATAAGAGTAGGCTTCGGCCGCCACCCGGGCAAAATTCAAAATTTCCTACCAACTGAAAATAATAGGTGTGTCCCGCGCGCTCATATGACCTTACGCAGTTGCGAGCGCCGTAAAACACTTACCAAAAAAAATGCTTTCCACCCACTTGGATAGGACGTTCTATCAGGGATGGGCGTTAAACTCCAAAGTCCTGCCTCAGAAATAATCTTACAGTATTGAAATGGGCCTTAAGCCTATATTACTACAAAGGTTGCTATATCCGTATTATAGTTTAGACACTTTTCATCATCATCCAATACCAGATCTGCGATAGACATCGCCGATCATGATTCTCCATTCATTCCTTTGCTCGGATGCTATTAAAAAAGCTACGTTTCCTTTACTAAGGTTATAATATTGATTTTTAAAAATACCGCTTCTTTAACGCCCATTCCCTGGTGACTCGAGGAGCTTCACAATACGATTTAAATCAAAGTGCAGATTTGCTCATTCAACGTACAAGAATTATTTGACATACATATAATTCATTCGTAATCTGACACATAACACGTAAATACAATAAGACAATTAGCGGGTGGTTGGCGGGTGCTCTGGTGTGGTTTGCTCCTTCTTTCCTATCAAACAGCGTTTTTATGTGTGTGTGTGTGTGTGTGTGTGTGTGTGTGTGTGTGTGTGTGTGTGTGTGTGTGTGTGTGTGTGTGTGTGTGTGTATATATATATATATATATATATATATGTGTGTGTGTGTGTGTGTGTGTGTGTGTGTGTGTGTGTGTGTGTGTGTGTGTGTGTGTGTGTGTTACTCTCTTGATTCACCTCTAATCTTCCGCACTTTTATGACCTCATTGTGTTGCAAGTGCCGTAAAACTCTAACTAAAGCTAAACTAAAATAAGACAGTCGCTATGGCAACTGAACGCATTTGCCGCTGGAAGACTCGCTCTCGATCCCTAGACACACGCAGATGGTGGAGAGCAATGTATTTGTGAGGATGAAGGTGAATTCAGGTGCTCGTCAAAATAATGAAATCGAAGACATCTGTATTTTTCTGCAGGTTTGGCAATTATTATCAAATTTAAGTTGCTGATTTTTGTTGCTTTTTATTTTTCAGTTTTTGGAGGGGTTTTTTTTTGGAGGGGGGGGTTGGGGGGAGGGGTAGGCTCAACACCTTTTACGTCCTTTTAAGAACTCATTTTTGTGTGGATTTTACGAGGGAAAAAAACAATTGGTAAATTGTAAATTTTCAGTCTCTAAAGCCTCTCAAGCTATGGAAATCACCAAACCTTGGCGGCCATTTTCTCGTTTACTTTACCTCTGAAACAAGGCCTCGTTCAATCGCAAATATTTCGACTTCTATTCAAGATAGATAGGTACGTATCTTTCATCCAAAGAGAGACAAATGAACGAGCTTTAAGATAATACCAATGACCCCACATGCCCCCAAATTGACGAGAGCCTGATTCCAGCGTGTCGTGCCACATATTTACAGACGGAGAAGTCTCGGGCACAAAAAGCTTGTGACAAACAGATTTTTATCAAAATTGATACGCAAATGGGGAGAGAGACAGACATACAGAAAGAGAGAGATATATATATATATATACAAACATACAGAGACAGAGACAGACGGGGAGACAGGGGGAAAGAAAAGGCAGAAAGAGGAATAGAAAAAAAGAGAAAGAGAAAGAGAAAGGGGGGGGGGGGGTAAAGGCCGAGAGAGAGGGGGGAATATAGAAAGGAAGAGAGTGGAGGAGAGTGTTCATCTATGTATTTTTAAAATATTTTTTTGGGGGGAGGGGGGTGTTTGGGCCTTAATGTGTATGTTTGAGCATGTGTATGTGAGTGTATCTTTATAAGTGCGCGTGTGTGTGGTTTTTCGGAAGGGGGGGGGGCATAAAAAGATAGACAGAAAGACAGACAAGCAAAGAGGAAATATGGCGATATAAGTTTAACGACCTACTAGAAATGCATAGATTATTTTAGCCCTGTCGTTGTCGTAAGGCTCAAAAAGACAGGAGAGACACAGAAACTATTTTCGTATTTAAATGTCACACAAATGGATCTGAATGTTGATTTTCACGTGTGACATTTAACCAATGGAGGGCTCACAACTACGACTGGTATGCACTAGGCAAATGTGTTATCCTAAAACGTTTTTCTTTTTCTTTTCTTTCTTTTTTTTGGTGCTGTTTTTTGTTTGATTGTTTGTTGTTTGTTGTTTGTTGTTTGTTTGTTGGGTTTTTTGTAAGGTGCTGGGGTTACAACTAGACAGACATAGTGAGAAACAGAGATAGGAGAGAATGAGGACAGACAGACAGACAGACAGACGGACAGACAGACAGACAGACAGAGAGAGAGACAGACAGACAGACAGACAGACAGACAGACAGACAGACAGACAGACAGACAGACAAATAGACAGACAGACAGACAAACAGACAGACAGAAGTGGTAAAACAGGGAGGGTCGTTACGTTAATCTTCTTAAACCTGGAGCTCATCACAGAATGACGACATGGGAGTGGCACTATGAGGTGGGGCGAGGGGGTGTGTGTGACAGAGAGCACGCATGTTTTGAACGCAGGTCGCCGTGAATATATCAAAGGAAAAAACACGTCGTTATTTATCACAGGTTTAAACACCTAGTTTCCGTCAATGTTAACCTGTTCATACATAAAGGCAAGACAGCGAACAAATAGCCCTGGTCTCGAGAAGACTAAAGTCTCCTTATGCCATTCTATTTAAATGTTTGGGGGTTTTCTTGTTTTTATCTATAATACACTTATAGTTCTAATTAAAAAGTGGTTCTTAGAAGAAGCTCAGATACAGAATTAAGACTCAGTTATGATAGGGTCATTAGCATAAAAGTCTTTTAAACTCCTCAAGCAACGTGAGTGCCGACACACCTGTCCTCGGGATTCGAACCCAGGTTTCTCGCCACGAAGCCACCTCTCTTAACAACATAGCTAACGGCATGTCTACTAAACATCGGTTCCCAGACTGAAATATCATTGTAAAGTCAAGCTCCTTTTCTTCAAACCCGTAAGGAAATTATGTATAATAGTTTGTTCATGAGATATTTGGGGAGCAGGGTGGGGCATCTTTGGTAAACCCTATTCAGTTAAGTCTGTCTGCGGTTCACATTTTTCTGCATGATAACCTTTGCATCGATATAATTCCTGTTTTAAAAAAACAGTTAAAAATGCGCAAAATTGTATAGATATAGGTTCAACGCCCCTTGCACACTGTCAGGAAGTTCATTTAAGGGGTAGGACCTCCAAACTTAGAGTCCATCTCCGATAGGACCAAGACAAGTAGGAACAATTGTATAAAGTGCTTGTCCAAAGGAGAGAACGTCGGACCAAGCAAAATCGACCAGAAAAACCCCCCAAAACAAGCAAACAAAACAGGTAAACAGCCCAACTAACCTGTGCGTGTCGTTGTACTCGCGTTGTCTGGACCAGGACATGGTCAATAACGCCGCCTCAATCATGGCCGAACTGACCACGACGTCATAGTCCCCGTTGTACAACAAGACCTTGTAGTTGTCCATGAGAACTGCCAGCTTGGCTTTTGTACTCACAAGCACATCCGGCCCGTACATTTCTGACAATGCGTCGTTTGAGACAAAGTACTTGGTGTTCCCGACATGCACCGCTTTCCGGAACTCCTTGGACGTCATCATTTTCTGAACAGCGTTGTAGTTGGCGTCTTTGCCCGTGACGTAGTTATCCAAAGATGGCAGAGGAAGTTCGTTGAGCAGCACAAGGTCGGTGAAAAGTTCGGAGAATGTGGCGTTTGACTGGCCACCGTCTAAGAAGCTTTGATACATTTTTACAACTTTTTTCTTATGCCTCTCCTTGTCTGCATGACTAAGAGCTCCTAAGGCGTATAAGTAGTCAAAGAACGCTACACTTTCCGTCTCCGGATCAAAATACGGGCTACCCAGCACCACTCCGAGAAGCTTTAACTCAGCACACGCTTTGTCCGTCTTTTTACTCTGATGAATTTTGTATCCCAGCGATGGTACGTATTTGCCAGCGTACGACTGTCCTCCGATGTACATGCCTCTGGTTTTGAATTCAGGGAACATCTTGTTGAACTGGAGCACGAAACTGTAAAGGTCGGCGGTGTAGTCGTCTTGAGTGATCTTAAAGCCCTTGGCGCCACTGTCAGAGAAACTGTAGCCTGTGCCCACCGGGTTGTCCACATACACGATAGAAAAAGGGCCGACCCACGTGTGATTTCTCGCTCCGTATGTGACCTTCTCTTGTGCATCCGTACGTACTTCAATGGGCCCATGCTCCCACAACAGGCCTAGCATAGATGATACAGCCGGACCTCCGTTTAGCCATATGAGAAGAGGAGCTTTGGGATTTGTGTGAGACGGGAAATACCAAAAGAACAAATGATTTCCTAACTCCTTGTCCACCGTCAAGTACCCCGCATGGCTGCGAGGAAGGGACGGGAATTCTTCCCGGTCTATCTCACTCAGCGCCCGAGCCTTGTCAATATTTCCGTTGTCAAGCAAGGGCGTCAGTAGTAACGGCGCTCCAGGGGGCTCCACGGGTGGAGGGTTCGCGTTGCTCAACGCGATCACCATGGAAACCAGGAAGGCCAATAAGGCCTTGGACCTGGCGTCCATAGCGGCACCTGAGGACCACAAGGAAAACATAGTTGTTAATTTGTTTAGATGGAGTACAGACAAGCAACTTGGTAACGACCAACGAATGTAGGGAAAAGCCAGATAATAGAACGAGAATAATAGAAAAAGAAGTAGGATCTATCAGTGGGGCCCTCAAACGAATCGGAAAACAATAACCAAAAATAAAAATAGAACGCTGATTTGCATTTGCGTGGAGTGGGTAAACCAAGCTTTAACAGTATGTAAAGCTTTAAAGTGTTGATTGCTCCTTGGCTCTCTCTTTCTCTCTCTCTCTCTCTCTCCC